GAAATTTGTCATAACGAATTAAATTCGTTAAATCAAATTCAACAATCAGGGCCTATAGAAAAATATATATGAATTCAATATAACGATTTGTCGAATTCTTTTTAACGAATTTAAATTGTTATAACTTAGAGAATTTGTTTTAACGAATTTAATACGTTATAACAAGTTTCAGAATTCGTTATAACGAATTTAATTCGTTATAACAAATTTTTAAATTCGTTATTACGAATTCAGCAAAGTTATAACAGATTAAATTCGTTATAACGAATTCAAAGAAACTGTTATAACGAATATTAATTAAATTCGTTATAACAAATTCGACAATTCGTTATATCGAACTTAAAAATATTTTTGATAGGTCCTAGATGGGCTTCCGTATCAGAAGGAGATTTGATTAAAAAAATCTTGACTTTACCATTTAAATGACATCATTAATTAATGTAGCTCACAATACAATATATCAGTAGAAATGGTTTCTCAAATCTGCAGAAAACTACTTGATTATGAAAGAGAGTATGATCCATATATAATAAGTATGTAAATGAAATTGGGGAAAATAAGCAATTTTGGGAAAAAATATGATTTTCTAAAATTTAATTCACACAAGATAATATCTCGTTTTCACGAGATAATTTCTCGTTTTCACAAGGTAATATGTCGTTTTCACGACATAATTTCTCGTTTTCACATGATAATATGTCGTTTTCACGAGATAAATTTTTCCTGGTATCTTAAAAAAATCAAGTGTCCTAAATGTACCACCGTACTCTTTCACTGAAGAAGTGATATCTGTTTAGTTATCAATTTAGTTAAACAACTCAATGTTTGCGAAGCCTCATAATTTGGTAATATTTGGGGGAATGTAACTTAACAGTTCAACATTTTTAGAAATGTATATGGTCCGTGTAACTCTTAACAATTCAAATTTCTTAAATGATTAGAAATTTAAAATTTTAATATTCTAGTTCAAATTTCTAAATTTCAAAAACTCAAATTCATTTCGAATTTTGAAATTTTATATTTTAGTTCAAAAATCTAAATTTTAAAATTTCTAAACAAAATTTTTGAAATTTTTGATTTTTACTTTATATATTCAAAATTCAAATTTCCAAAAACATTTTTTTGTGTTTTAAACTTTTGAGTTTTTAATCTATATCGTTAGTTCAGAAAGCTTACGATATAAAGTTACTTGTTAGAAAACATTCTCTAGACATTGATCAAGGAAGTGAAAGTAGCGCTAGTCAATTCGTTCGAAAGCTATCGGGATTGACAAGTGTTTCAAAGTCTTTTATTTTGAAGGCACCAGGAACACAAATATCTAAAACTTTTTTTTATATATACATGTATTTAAGTTAAGGGTGCATCAAATCAATGTCATATATTGCCCGATTTTATAATTTAGTGTACGTGCGCTCCAAAACAGGTGACTCTGCGATATTGTCAACACAAGTCGAAAACAGAAGCAGGAGAGGATCCCAACTTTCATATTCGTGATACTGATTTAAAAAGAAAGAGGACTTGAGTCGCTTGAAATACCAAGAAATTAAATATTATTTTCCACGAGAGAATCTTGTATTGTGTACAGTGGTTGAAATGTTTAATTTAGTAACTACTGTTTGATTTATCACAAAAAGGTAGACATATTGCTGGTTGAGAAGGGAAAATTTATCAGAATATTCTGATGTACAATTGTCCGTATTCTCTCTCTCTCTCTCTCTCTCTCAGAGAAAGCAAAAAGTTTAGTTATTTACTGGTTGAGGGACACATAATAAAATGTTGTAAACATCCTGCAATTTCTCCCATGAGATTAATTGCAGTGTGTACCGGTGTAAAGACGAATAATGACCCCCATAGAATAATGACCGGGGGATCATTTTTCAGCGATAAAAAATGACCCCCCAGTCGTAGGAAAAATTAATTTTTTGTAGAAAAGAGCCCTAGGGGTAATTTTTTTTATGTGTGCGTCCTATAAAAAATTAACCCCCGTTGAAAAATGACCCCTTTTCTAACAGAGTGCATGATACAAAATTTATAACATGATGTCAATTAAGGTTTGAACCTCAATGTTTAATATTCTTCTTTATGTCCTTTTTGACCAACACTGGACGAACGCGCAAATAAAATAGCATTACATTTACATGCATATTTCTATCTTTTAAGCCTATTGTGTTCTCAGCACATATTGAAAATCGCAAAATGGCTACTATTGGTTATAACTCGTAACGTAATTTCCCTTTATGACTGTCTTCCATTTGTTTCATATTTGGATATTTGCATTCCTAGCTAAATAACAGACAAGTGGGATGTTCTGGCTTTTCAATGGTAAACATGTTTCCCAAAGTAATCAGCATGCTTGGAGTAGGAACAACTTTCTTAAAAACACGACGGGAAAAAGGAATAATATAAGTTCGGAAATAAATACGGAAAGTTATGCAATGTAATATATAGGTATATTTTGAATGACGTAAAAAGTCTTGCAAATGAGGTAGAAAGTATCGAAAATGACGTAATATCTCGTGCGAACGACATACCGTGGATATATCTATCTATCTATCTATCTATCTATCTATCTATCTATATATATATATATATATATATATATATATATATATATATATATATATATATATATATATATATATATATATATATATATATATATATATATATATATATTTCCTAATGAAAAAAAAGATAAAGAACAGTGATGATTTTAAAATATCCACAAACAATACAATTCTGTTAACAGGGCATAAAAAGGACCCCCGAAAATAGCAGAGGTCGGATCAGGTGCCTAAAAAGAGTAAGCATCCCCTGCTGATCCGTCACAACCGCCGTAAGCCCTATGAATAACTCAGGTAAACGGGACATTCCGTTGTCGAATTTAGTATAAAAACAAGGGTCAAACAATTAACCCAATCATAGGTTATATTTGTTGACAGGGTCATTGATACGACCATTGAATTTTGGAAATTCTGACTTTAAACGAGGTTGTTGAAACCCCTGTAACATCAACTTGCATGTATCTGTAAGTAGCCTGCCTCGATTTAAATATTAATCGTGCTCTTGGGTATCGAATAAGTTGGTAGACGTAAACATTATATGCAAATGATAGCGGAATATTACTTCATAAATAAGGAAAGTTGACGATAGAAAAAGCTGAAATCATCCCGTTTGTCAGACAATTTATTTGTTAGTTGGTCTTTTTTCGTCTATAGTCAGTGGAACGTCAGTGGAACGTCCAAATATGAAGCAGACGTGGCAAACATAAGAAGGACACAACATTTCTGCATGTCTGAAATATATTGTGCATTCAATTTTACTTATAAACAGAGGTCTACTCTATGGGAATTTCTTTTCAAATATATGGAAGTAATAAAGAAGAATCCCAGTAAAATGTAACATGGTCGTGTGAGAATAGGATACATACATGTACATGTAAGAGGAATATCTTTTGTTTTTTAAATCAACTTTAAAACAGTGATACATTGGTCAAATCAAAATGGAAACATTTCAATGCAGTGTATATTGAAGCAGATTAATGTTTTCAATTTATGATTAAAGACAGACCATTTTATTAACCTTCCAGTCGAATATAAGGATTTATTTTTCCTACATTGAACTAAAAATAGATTGAAAACAATTCTGAAAAGTTATTTCACCTGCATCTGAATTCCACTCAAGTCAACATAATATTCAGGCACAAAGAATCATTTTTCGACGTCGAATAATGATCGGTGGTGATTTTTCGCCGTTAAATAATGACCGGGGGTCATTATTCGACGACGAAAAATGACCCCCGGTCATTATTCTATGGGGGTCATTATTCGTCTTTACACCGGCTTTAATACATCACATCAACTTAGTATGCAGTTCTTGGTCACTATGGTTTAAAAAAATACAACTGTCTTTAATAAAAGATTTTATGAACTATTAACCAAATGAATATATTTAGATCTACTTCTTGCAGACATGAATTGAAAATATAAATGCACAAGATTTGAATCTGATCACTACGTTCTGCACTTATATGTTTAAAAGGCGACGAGGTTAAACAATCATCTCAATTCCATTGTCATAATTTATATTTCTTACAAAATCAATATATGGCACAGGAACCTGTTGGCATAGGGGGAGCTCCCCCAGTAATAATAATTTTGCTACTAATCCGAAATAAATTCCATATCCTACTACAAGTCATTGAATTTCCTCTTTTTGCTCATACAGCAATCCCGGTCATTTCCTTCCAGTGCCTGTTCAATCTAGGTTATTCTCTCCTAGGTCATTTCCCTATTACCTAGGCCATTTCACTCCACAACCCGGTCATTTCACCCCAAACTCGTACATTATTCCAACGAGGGTCAAACACAAAAATATGGAACACACAGCTGCAAAAAGCTATTTACTAAGCTAAAAAAATTATATGATTTCAAGTCTTCATGACATATGCAATATAACATGTATCATCATGTACCCTTTTTTCCAATATACAAGAGAGGAAAAAGAATGTAAAAAGAAAAGCTGCAAAAATTAGTTTCGTTTCCTTCATATGACATGCCTTTGTCTAAAACTGAGGTTACATGTCTACTTTATTTCAGATTGTATCTCTACGTCTCAAGGAAATTCACAGACCAGGTCATGCTCTTCGAGTCAATACCTTACCATCACATCGGGTACTTGGTCTTGCACGTCTTGGCTTTGCTCCGGAAGTTCGTCCGTTACTTCTAGAATGAACTCTCAGTGTGGGTATGGCTCCTCCTGTACGATTCAAGCCAGCAACTCCTGGCTTGGTGGAGATCCGTGTACAGGATGCGATAAAACACTCTATTGGTCGTACAGCTGCCCAGGTAAGTATATTGCTTTAACTATTTTGAAGAAACCAGCCTAGAAACTAAACATTTGTTGCATACATTAAGATTGCAAAGTCACTGGCTAGTTATCTTTAATGGAACATGTCCAACTTAAAAACAAGAACTAGATTACCAGAACCCTTTAATGAAAGCTGCACCACAAGAAGATTTTCAGTGCGTTTAATGCACAACAGTATAATAGTCATTTAATAATATTTATTCGTTGAAACCAAGATTCTTTCTCTCCACATCATTTACTGAGTATAAAGTCTTCTTTCAAAATCTGAAAAATGAAATCTAATTTGTCTAATGTATACCTATATATATATATATATATATATATATATATATATATATATATATATATATATATATATATATATATATATATATATATATATATATATATATATATATATATATATATATATATATATATATATATATATATATATATATATATATATATATTGATTTATAATTAAGAATTTCAGGGCCCCTGGGTCAGGGGTTCTGGTGTTAGGGAGGGGCTCTAATAATTATATAGTGAAAATACATTAATTCTTTAAAAATCGTCTCCTCTGCTCCTGGGTATTAAGCAAACAAACAATATGCATAATTATAATGAGGAAAGGTGCCTCTTCTAAAATTGTGAATTTCATGTCCCCTGGGTCAGGGGTTTTGTGTTTGGGCGGGGCTCTAATATTATATAGTGAAAAGGCATTCATTTTTAAAAATCTCCTCCTCGGCTCCTGGGTATAAGCCGAGAAACTAAGTATATAGTTATGATGTGGAAAGGTGCCTCTTCCAAAATTGTGAATTTCATGGCCCCTGGATAAGGGTTCTAGCGTTAGGGCGGGGCTCTTATGATTATATAGTAAAAATGCGTTAACTCTTCAAAAATCTCCTCCTCTGCTCCTGGGTATTAAGTTGATGAACTAAGTACCCAGTTATGATGAGGAAAAGTGTCTTTTCTAAAATTGTGAATTTCATGGCCCCAGGGTCAGGGTCCTGGTAAAAGGGTGGGGCTCTAATGGTTATATAGTTAAAATGCATTAATGCTTTAAAAACTTCTCCTGGGTATTAAGCAAACAAACGAAATGCATAGTTATGATGAGGAAAGGTGCCTCTTCTAAAATTATGAATTTCATGGCCCCGGGGTCAGGGGTTCTGGTGTTTGGGTGGGGCTCTCATGATTATATAGTGAAAATGCATTAATTCTTCAAAAACCTTCTCCTCTGCTCCTGGGTATTAATAAGCCGATGAACTAAGTATATAGTTATCATAATGATGAAGAAGAGTGCCTCTTCCAAAATTGTGAATTTCATTCCCCCTTGGTCAGGGGTTCTGGTGTTAGGGCTGGGCTCTAATGGTTATATAGTGAAAATGCATAAATCTTCAAAAATCTTCTCCTCTGCTCCTGGGTATTAAGCCGATGGACTAAGTACATAGTAATGTTGAGGAAGAGTGCCTCTTTCAAAATTGTGAATTTCATGGCCCCAGGGTCAGGGGTTCTGGTGTTAGGACGGGGCTCTAATTGTTGTATAGTGAAAATGCATTAATTCTTTTAAAATCTTCTCCTCTTCTCCTTAGTATTAAGCCGATGAACTAAGTGAATTTCATGGCTCCTGGGTAAAGGGTTATGGTGCTTTGATTGGGCTCTATTGATTAATTAGCAATAATGCTTTGAAAATCTTCTTTTCTGCCTCTGAAGTACTTACATGTAGCAAACAAACTAAATGCAATGATATTAATGTAAATGTATATATTATGTATTGTATATTGTGATAAGTAAATGTGCCTTTTCTTTGCTCCTGAGTATCTAGGAGGCAAACTAGTACAGCATTGTAATAAGTGAAACAAATAATAACTATTTGAGTGTCAAAACCTACCATGGCTTCGGTGTGGTCTCCCTGCAATTGAACACTCTCAAACTAACAAAATATAATTTATAAATAGTATGAGATCCAGTCCAATTATAAATTTATTAAAGAAAGTCCAGTAAATTGATGCATAATTTATTACAAAAACAACACAGATAGTAATTGACAAATAATTTTCGTGGTAGTTAAGCATTTATAATTACTGTACTTTCTACACGTAGAACAGTTTTTGTTGACGGTATCTCAATTTTGAGATGAGAATTCCATCTCGTTTTCACTTTTCTATTGAATTTATTTATTCGAATGTCGTTTCGTTATTCGATCGTCGGTCCATTCGACTGATAGTCGAATAGTCGAATGTTCGTTGACATTCCTAAAAATTTAGCAAAAGTTGAAATTGTACACAGTATGTTTACACTGAGGTGATCTGTTTGACAGTGGGTGAGTTATTATTAGGTAAAATCAAGGTTGACAAGAGACTGGATAAAGTTGTTTTATACATTATCAAATTGAACAAAGAATCACAGAGAGCCAGGGTGACTTGTAATTAGTGACAATTGGCAAATAGCAACGCTATACAATGTATGGATCCTTTACAGTGTTGTATTATACTCAGGTGACCGTTAACGTCCTTAGGCCTCTTGTTGTACTTATGTTGAATTATAATCAGGATCTTTAAGATAAAGATATACTTTTGAGAACATGAGGTATGTGTTTAGTTTATACGATAAGGGATCATTATTTTACATGTATGTTTATTGGACAGACTCTTTTAAAAACTTCGCAAGAACAACAGGACCAAGTCTGGAAATACTGAAATGCAAACATTCTCAGATATTGCATATTCAGGCTTCAATCCCTGCCCCAGAGATAGGTTAGGGCCACAATAAGGGTCAAAGATTTACAAAAAAAAGTTGAAAGAAAAATCCTTTAAAATTCTCAAGAAAGCAGGGCCATGGCTAGTCTTATTTATATACAAACAAATTCAGGTTAAACAGATTAAGTCTGTTCAAGGAGATGGGTGAACATGACGAGCGATAAGCCTATAGTGTGACAAACATGAAGATGAAAAATTAAATTTCTATTATATCAAAATTTTCCTTGATATTTCGTCTAACATTAAAATATTCTTTATGTAAAATTTCTACAATTTGCAAAAATCCCTCAAAGTTTGAAATTATTTGCATGTGAAACATTAGACACACACTAAAGTGGGCAAAAAGAGTAATTTTCGCATACCATAACACAATTTTTCGATAGGAGTGGGTCTTCGCTCCAACCTTTTTGAAAGTTAATCCTCAAAGTTTGCATAAAAATATACATTTTTTGCTTACCAAAAATATGGAGCAATGACCCACTATACCTGAAAAATATACTTTTATGACATAACATTCGCATCTTTTCGAGAAATACTTGAAGTCCATTAAGTCAAGGGTCATATCACAAACATGATTTAAATGCCACTGTTCGTCAGGACTTGTGTAGTCTAGTGGTTAGCGTGCTAGTCTCGAAAGAAAACGATTCTCAGGATTTTTATTGCTAGGGTTCGAACCCCACGAATACCACATTAATGTTTTTAATAAAAGAATAAATTTTGCCTAGAAAATTTTCCTCAGAAAAGTTTTGTTTATCACAATTACATAAATTTCAATAATGAGAACTTTACTCTAAATATTAAATTCACAAACTGAACATGATTTTTATATTTCTGAAGCTATAGGCTTTCTGCACGCTATGTTCGCCCATCTCCTTCATTGCCCAAAGGGTAGGATGGGCCACAATGAGGGACACATTTTTTTTTAAATAGTAAGAAAAATCTTTATGAAACATCTTCTCAGAAATTTAAAACAGCAGGTTCATGATTAGTACTTTATTTATATAAGAAACCTCAGAAAGTATAACTTCAATTTTGTTCAAATTATTTTCCACGGATTATATAATGATTGATCAGTACTTTTCCTTTATTGATCCTAATCCTCTTAGGCAACCTCACAATGGTATAAAAACAAAGCATAAACAAATTGAAAACAATCAAATAGGGTACGTTATAAGTCGACCACATGCAGTGCAGTAGTAATAGCGAAGGAAGGTTTCGCTTCGTTCTACAGTCGCAGAGTAAGGAGTTGGTCATTATGCCGGAGTTCAAATCCACTGAGGGAAGTGGAAACCTGTATTTCGGATGAGACCGAATAAACTGAGGCCCCATTTTGCAGAAGATGTTAACACAAAAAGACTTTCAATGACCATAAGTTCAGAATACATATCTAACATTAACAATTATTGGCCATGAAAAGCTGAAAGTGTATACTATTTATAAACAAAAAAACGTTAATTTTTTTTTAAATAGGGCCAATTTTGATGATTCTCGGCTCTTGCTCTTTATACCTATACACGGCACTTAGGGCCATTGAGCAGTGAGGGATTTTTTTCGTGCCAACACCTACTGCGACACGGAACCTCGCTTTATACGACCTGTTTCACGTCCCGCCAAGTAAGGATCAACTCCTTACTCCGCGACTCTAGAGCAGACGCTCTAACCACTGCGCCACGGGGGCATGAAGACAAGATGAAGATAAGATGAACAGTAATTATGCTCAAGGTACGTGTGAGCAGAACAAACAAAGACCTCTCTGAACTTGGAAAAAAATTGGGCAATTTTTTCATGAAATATACAACAATATCAAAATTTGATAGGAAGATCTGAGCAAAAATAATTAAAATATATTTTACTCAAAAAGTATACATATATTTTGTTTTTTAATGTCCAACCCTACTTTGTAAACCTGAAATGTGGACTTTTCATAAAAAGTCGATTTAGCAAATTTCACCTAAATTCTTAATAAAAAAGATCTAAATATTTGATCGTTTTTCAAATTGACATTAATTTTTGAAACCTTTATCACAGGTTAAGACAAGAGACCCAAGGGCCTTAACGGTCACCTAAGTATAACACAACACTGTAAAGGATTCATGGTAGTAAATAATGAAATAAAATATACTGATAGATGAAGTTATAATGCCCAAGAGCAAGAAAAAGAGGATGGTCATGGATCAACAAAATATTTATTATGAAGAATCATATTTTAACGTAGATCTGTTTAGTTACCTGTACTTGCCAACATTTGTCACTATCACCATGAATGCAAACGAACCATAGTACTAAAATGCTACTGGTGATCCTTTTTCTCATACACCCTAAAACTGACTTCTTCTGGTCTATGAAGAACATTTATTGTACAAAGATTAGGTATTCTTTTGTCTTATATTTATTTATCTTTTATTTACAAGTCTACCTGACCATCAAAAAATGTGAAAGTCTACTTTTTGTATTATATATCATAAAAATTCTTCTAATCTAAATCTTTTATTCAATTACATTATCTTATTATCATAGGTGAATGGCAAAGGGGAATAACTTATTTTGAATTAAATAATTAGGAAAAAGGTATCCCTGCTCATCAGAACTACATTCTTAACTTATCTGCTATATATATCTAGGAGAGTGAAGAAAATTTTCAAAGAATTAATTCATTTTCACTATATAATCATTATAATCGATAGAGCTCCACCCTAACACCAGAACCCATGACCCAGGGGCCATGAAATTAATATTTTTGGAAGAGGTACCCTTGCTCACCATAAGTGTGCACATAATTTGTTTCCTTAATATCCAGAATCAGAGAAGACGATTTTCAAAGCAATAATGCATTTTCACCATATATTTAATAGTACACCCCTTCAACATAAAAGCCCCAGACCTTGGGACCACAAATTTCTCAAACTTGGAAGAAGCATCTTTTGCTCATCTTAACCATGCACTTTGTCTGCTAAATACTCAGGACCAGAGAAAAAGATTTTTAAAAGACTTAAAGTGTTTTCACTATTGTAAAACCACATATTTTCATAAGTTAAATTTTTCCTGTTTTAAGAAAAAAACTGTGGATTCATGGCGATTTGATTTCGTGGATGAATTTTTGAATAATTAGTTGTTTTTTTTTAATTGAGTGATTGAGTTTTATTACATTAAGCATGTCGTGGTGGACATGACTTGGTGGCCCTTTAAAGCCTCAAAAACAACGAAAATTAAAAATTCACGAAAATTAGTGAATCAATAAAGCCCTGCTCTAACACCAGAACCCTTGACATATTGGGCATGAAACTCATAATTTTGGAAGAGGCACTCTTCCTCATCATAATTAAGAACGTGGTTTGTCTAATACCCAAGATTTTCAAAGAAATGGTGTATTTTCGCTTTATAAACAATAAAGCCCCCCACCTCCAAAATAAGAGTCCCTGTCCCCAGGTCCACAAATTTTACAAATTTGGAAGATGCACTCTTACTTATCATCACCATACACATAGTTTTTTTTTACTTAATATCCAGGAACAGATAGAGAGAGAGAGAGAGATTTTTTCGAAGAAAGAATTTGTTTTCACTATGTAATCAAAAGAGTCCCCCACCGGAGCCCCAGACCCAGGGGCCATGAAATTCACTATTTTCAAAGGGACACTCTTGTGCATTAGAATCATGCACTAAGTATGTTTCATTAATATCCATGAGTAAAGATTTTTAAAGAAATAACGTATTTTCTCGTTATAATCAAAAGAGCCCCCCCCCCCTCCGACTTTCCAACATAAGAACCCCCGTCACTGGGTCAACAAAATCTACAATTTTGGAAGGGGTTCTTGCTCATCATAACCATGCACTTAGTTTATCAAAGTGCAGAGAAGAAGATTTTCAAAGAATGAATGCGTTTTCCAAACCCTTACACCAGAACCCCTGACCCAGGGGCCAAAGAATTCACAAGTTTGGAAGAGGCACCATAGCTCATCATAACTATGTATTTAAATTGTTTGCTTAAAATCCAGGATCAGAGAAGATTTTCAAAGAAATAGTGAATTTTAACTATAAAATCAATAGAGCCTCCTCCCTCCAAAACGGATGACCCTGGGACCAAAAATTTCACAATTTATGAAGAGACACCCTTGCTCATCATAACTGTGCACTTAGTTTATCTGCTAAATATACAAGGGACGAGATTTTCAAAGAATTAAAGCATTTTCATTATATAATCTTTTAAAGCCCCACTCTGACTCTAAAGCCCCTAACCCTGGAGCCATGAATGTCACAAATTTGGTAGAGAGCTCAATATTTAGTAAATTATACTAAGTAAGTTTCACACCTTTACTTGTTTACTTTCACTGCGTCAGTCCAATTAAAGAGATCTAAATGCCTAAGATACGACTAGTATTGCTCATATTTCTCTGTATTAAATCTGATATAGATTTTCAAATATCTTTTTATTTCACAGTTTTGTTTCATATGTAGCAAGCTGTTTACATTTGAATTCAATATTTTGTTATTCAAAGATACCTTTTCTTTTGTCCGTTCTATTCATACCATAGAGGTTTGTATTATTTTGCCCTTTTTATTTCATATCACAGAGGTTTGTGAAAGTTTGATTAAAAAATAGATCACATTCCTCGAAATATACCGTGCTTTTACGTACATGTACCTGCAATGTATATTCCACTTATTAAATTTTTATTTTCAGCGATTTGGTCTTCATGGTCATCATGGTCGTCATGCCCAAGTGATTGTATAACACAAAGTCTACAGAGGACTTAATCGTGTCAAAAGCCTTCAGGGTACAGTTGCGGGACAGCTCCTTCACAATCCATTTCTTGCCTCCTGATCGGCTGCACATGTAAGTATAAATATACCCCAATTAGACAGTTTTCATAATCAGTGTTATTTTTGTCAGTGCATATTCTTATTAGATCATATTCACATACTCTATTAAATGGACCTAAATACACTAGCAGTGTTGTACAAAATTACTTTTGACTAGGCCAAAATGTAATTTTGCGAAAAAATTCTTTCTTTTTATTAAGGATATCATAAAAAAAATTAAAAGATGTTTTATGCAGAAAGTGTGTCCCGCTCTAATGATAGTGGGTTTGATGAAGCATAAGGCATTTTAAAAAAAGAAAATATGTCCATTATATTATACCCGCCAAAAATATACATACCCTATACCCTAGCTGCAGGTGGCAGTATATAAAATTTTAATGCTCTAGATTACAGGCTCTGGGGGCTCTTTAACATGGTTGTGGGGAAGTTTTATTGTGGAAATTAGTACAAAAATATGTTAGGAATTTTTTGTTTTTTTTAAATTTCCTATATATCCCAACATGAAACTTTGATTCTTTGTTGTGACCTCTACCTACCCCGCGGACAATGATATGAACAAACTCGAATCTGCACTACCGTGAGGATTCTTGTTAATATGACTCTGTTGTTCTTGAGAAGATCCTTACATGAACAAATGATTGCGACCATGAGAAAATGTGCTTATGGCAATTTTTACACATTTTGAGTTTTACATGGAATTCGATAGAGCAAGGTAAGGAGGTGTCAAATCTTAATTTTTATGGCTCTACTCCAATTCTAAGCATGTTTTTTCTTCATTTATATCAATGATACTCCAACAGTTAAATCATGACGTCATGATACTTTTGCACCAACGTCAAACGTTTTCGGAGTGAACGTAACTCTAACTTGTTATTGTACACATTATTAATATATGTATTATAGAATCTATTTTTTTTTATCATAATCATTTTTAAATAGCTGTTGTAAGTAGAATACATCAACGGTTACCGTATAGAATCATTTTTGTTGTCAGTGTCTTTTAAAATAGTTGTTATAAGTAAAATCCATCAACGGTATAGAATTACATGTATGAGTGCTCGAGTTGTTTATTTTACACTTTGCTCATGTTCGGACGACAGGCAAATTTAGACCTCAGAGGCGTGACTTCCGGGCAAGAATTGTTTTGGAATTGGAAATATATAGGATTAATTCAAAAGACGTCCATTTTGTTGTTTGAAATAAGAATAAATCTGAAATATCTTCCCAAATGTGAAAATAAAAAATGTTCCTGAAAAAAAAAAACAACTAGATGCTGTCATGAGACAGTAATACCCGCACTAAGGTGTTTGCCTTTAAATGCACACTCCTTCATATTGGGCTTACCAAAGAAAAAGTCAAAATAATTCTACAATTTACACAGTACATGTTTCGTCAAATCGAGCATAAAATGCTTGAAGGTGACCATGTGACCTATGAGCCTCTTATAGGTATTTCCTTTACTTAATTCATTTCCAGTCTGAAATAACAGAATTTGATTAATGATGTAAAATAGGTTTTGATAAAAGGGGGGATATAAATTTTTGGCCCATAATTGAACTTTTTAAATTTATTTTCTCAATAACAAATAATAATACTTTAGTACAAAGCGTTTTTAATGAATTTATCAAAAAGTGCAAACTTTTTTTTAGTATTTGATTAGGCAAAAACCTTCTTGAAAAGCCAAACCCAATCAATTTTGTCACCCCTCCCCCCCCCCCCCCAACACACACACACAATTTGCCTGTTTTGGGAAATAGGCCTAGATGGCAAAGTTATGTTAAAACATCGTTTGTTATGATAATTTAAAATTTGTTCTTGTATTGTACATGTATGTGAACACCTTTTTGAAAATTTCTACATCACATATTGGGCTTGCGTCACCCTACTAGTACTAGTTTTACCATTATTATTTTTAGATGGTGCAATCATTACATATATATCAGTAGAAATTAATTCATTTTGTGTTTTAATTGGATTATATTTCATGAAGTTGACAGGACCTATGAAAGTCGGTAAGTACAAGTTTAAGTATAGATTGGGGTAAAATAAACCGAAATGCAAATGGTTAGGTTAAAGTTTAGAAAGGATCAAAGATCATCGGATGCCACAATAGACGAATTTCACATTCTGAAGAGTTATCTCCCGTTGTCGACATAAAATTCAGTTACATGCACAGATCCTGGAATTTCTCCCGGGGGGGGGGGGGGGGGGTTCACACCTCAATCAAAAAAATTTCCAGCCCCCAATTTCCTGAGAAGCAAAAAAGCAAACAAACAAAAACAAATAGATGCTGTCATAAGACAGTAATACCCGCACTAATGTGTTTGCCTCTAAATGCAGGCACGTAGCATCGGTAGCATCGGGGGGGGGGGGGCAGAGGGGGCCTCGATCCCCCCCCCCCCACCTTTTTCGAAACATAACTTTTTACTTTTGAAAATGTTCTTGAAAGGGTTGTTTCCCCCCACCCCCACCCCCACCCCCCCACTTTTTGTTGCATTATAGTCAAATAAAGGTAATGTAGTAGTGTACATATAAAACTGGGGTACTGAAAGAAGTTGGAATCCACCCCCACCCCACCCCACGAAATAGGATATTTGAGTATTTTGAGTTTTGAAAAAAAAAAATTTTTGGCTTGTCAAGTGACGGGTGGGGTGGGGGAGGGGAAGAGGGGGGTTTGGCTGCTCACTTTTTAAGCTTCATATGTATAACTTCTCGTACCAACTTAACAGGGGTCCGTGTTTTCTAGGGGGGGAGGGGGTCCAAGGTCACTTTTAGTTGCTTTCGTATATAGATTTCGAATATAGGTTCCGGACCCCCCCCCCCCTAGATCCGCGCATGTAAATATTTCATTACCAGTCTGATATTACCTAATAATGTAAATTCTGATAAAGAGAAAATTTTTGAAAGATTTGAGTAAAAAAGGGGGGTGTTTAATTTTCTACCCATAATTGGAACTTCTTGAATTTATTGTCAAAACAACAAATATTATTAATTTAATGTATAGCTTTTTTGATGAACTTAAAAAAAATTAGATGCCAAAATTACAACTTGTGCAAATTTTTATCAGTATTTGGGTAGGACTCGGAGAACCCCACCCACGATTCACCCGTTTTCCTGTCATATTTCGAATAGATTTAACACAAACTTATGAAAAAAAAAATTGTATGTAATTATAATATAAATTTTACAAATGTACACCTTTTTGGAAAATTTCTAGACTCGTGCGTGGAATTACGTCACACTGCGAGCACTACTTTTACCGTTATCATCATTGTTTTGCACATGGTGTATGTACATCATTATTACCACTGGGATTATTAATATTTAGTGTGTGTTTTAAATGGATTTTTATTCTATCAAGTTAACAGTACCTATAACAGGCGGTAAGTACTGATTATGAATATATTATTTTAAATGTTTAATATAGAACGGGGTTTGTTTGTTGTTTAACATCCTTCTCGAGAATTTTTCGCTGATATGGAGACGCCATCACCTATGGTCGACACTTAGGGCCACTGAACATTGAGAGGTCATTTTTGTGCCAACAACTAGGGACCTCGATTTATACATTCTCATCCGAAGAACTGGTCTCCACGTCCCGCAGTGGATTCGAACCCGCGACATAAGGATCATCTCCTTACTCCACGACTCTAGAGCAGACGTTCTAACCACTGCGCCACACGGGCGACTAGAACGGGGTAAAATAATCGGAAATGAAAATGGTTAGGGGCCTATAGGTGGAAAAGGGTCAAAGATCATTGGAATGCCACAATTATACAAATTATACAATGAGGCATTCCACTCGATCTTTGGAACCGGAAACAATAAAATAGCTGTCATTAGAGCAAAAGCCCCTAAGTCATCTTTGTATTATAACACACTAAATAGGATATATGGGATCATGACCACCCAGAGGTCATTCCCAACACCTAAAACTTCAAATGATCATATACATTGTATCTTGAAAATGGTTGAAAACTCTCCCCTTTACCATATATAATATTGTCCCTCGAGTCATTATTCATTAAATGGTATAAAGGTTATGACCCCTTGAAGTCATCCTCATCCTGAAAAAGGAAATGATCACAATATGACCTGCGTCAAAAGTGTGTTAGTGATAATCTGCTTGACATTTTATTCAGGACCCCCTAGGGTCAGTCCATCCTCCTAGAATTAGAAAATGAAAATCATTCAGAGACCCATCATTATACTTTGTGTACATGTACATTTTTGTATTATTCACAATTTATTTTATACCAAAACAAGTTATAAATAATTTTATAAATAAACAAGCCTGGGGCTGGGAAGGGGGAAAAGGGGAAAGAGTTCTGTCTTCATGGTCTTAAATGTTGAAAACTCCTAAAATTTGTGAATATTAACCCGGTCGTTTCCCACTTGTCATCATTATTTACTGATCTTCCCACAACATACATGTGTCTTTATTAAATCCATAGATCATGGACTTTTTTGGTCATATGCCTAGCTCTCTCTTGAATCAGGAATGGTGATATAAATATTTCAAGAATGATTAAGAATAAAAACAGGTCTTGCACAATCTCCTAAAAATTGATTAAGCTCTGTAGTTGAATTAGCTATACCGGTATAGCTTGGTTTTGCTATTCAAAACACTTTGATTTAGCTATTTAATCATACTTTTTTAATGTACATTTTTATCAATATAGATAAAAGTTGCACTATGTTGACATGTGTATAAATTTTGAATTTTCACCTTTGAGTTTTCTGAAAACAATGCATGAAGGAAAATTGCTTTTCAAAAATTGTCTCCTGAGAATTTGCTATCACAGATATATATATTTTGCATGGGGCTATATACCTGGGATAATCTCTCTCTCTCTCTCACATCTCCTTGAGTCAAAATTAAAGTGGAATTATATGACATTTTTTTTTAACTGATGACTTTTTAGGATTTTACACTAATTCATACTGCAGCAAGAATGTTATCCCTCCCAGAAAAAAATAAGTTTACTCACTGTCTTGTCTTTGATCTATATCTATAATTACAAAAGGACACAGCCAGAAGTCTTTTAACGTGGTTTGTTACAAATTTCACATGGAACTCATATTAATTTGCTCAAGATCAGTATTTTCAGTAGGCAGAAATGAACTTGATCAATTATGCTTGAAAAGTACTCACTGTGAACAATCACCTGACTTGTTGAAGACAGGTAAACATATCCCTCAGGGTAGAATTATCTCACAAAGGCCTGTACAAAATTGAAGTCATAATTAAATCATCATTGTCTTAGTTAAAATAAGAAGAAACACACTAGAGGTGTGATGAAATATTTAGAAACACAAAGAGTTTTAATTCTCATGCAAATATTCTTTCTTGTGTAAAACAATTGTTAAAATGAAGGGCCAAACCTTCTTTTAAGGGGAGATAAGAATGAGTGAAAATTTAATGTTATTTCATATATCTTCTTCTGAAGAACCACTGGGCCAGAAAAGTTTAAAATTATGTGAAACTTCATTACTTAATGTGGATTCAACTTTGTCCAAACCATGACCTTCAGGGGTAGGGTGCGGCCACAATAGGTGATCAAAGTTTTGTACACATGGGAATGTACAGTAAAACACGCTTATAACAAAGTGCCTGGGATGGACGATTTTGCTTTGTTATAAGTGTAATTGCTTATATCCATTAAGTTTACAATATATTTTAAAGTCACGGGGAATGAAAATCGCTTTGCTGTAAGTGTCAATTCATTAGAGACTTGTTTCGCTATAAGCATGCTTTACTGTATAAGAAAAAAATTCCTTCTCAAGAACCACTAGGCAAGAAAAGTTGAATCTTATGTGAAAGTTTCATTACATAATGTAGAAACAAATTTGTTCTTTCAAAACTACTCCTCCTACAGGTTTGATGCAACAAGTAGACTATACTAGTCTACATATTGTTTTTGTCAGTTTTCTTCAATCAAATTTTGTCCGAGCCTTAACTAGACAACCCTTTGACATTAAGACTTCAAACTTGAAACATGGAGAGGTGGTATGGAATTGGGGTTAAGGCCACCAAACTTTTTTTTTACCTTGACCTTACAATAAGGTCAAGGTCAATCTTTACATAAAAATGTAGTCCAGGCTATAACCTGAGAACCCTTTGACATTAGGATTTCAAATTTGTAACATAGAAAAAAGACATTTACAAAAGATGCACTGAACTAAAATTTTGACCTTGACTCCTTTCTTCATTCAAGGTCAAATTGAGAAAAACACCTCCAAACCATAACTTAAGAACCTTTTGACATTAAAACTTCAATCTTGGAACATGGAGAGGTGGTATTGAGAAAGGGTGCATGCAAACAAAATTTTTTACCTTGTTTTTATGCTCCGCCATGAATATGGCTGGTGCATAACTGCATATAGTGTTTGTCATGTCCGTCTTCCGTCCTTTCATCCTTCCGTCTGTCTTTCCGTCAAGCTTTGCGTTTAGCCCTGTTTAAAGTTCAGTTTCAAAGAAACTGTAAGATTGATATTATATTATTGTCCAAATTTATCCGGATCAATTTATTTATCCAATTTTGTCAGAATATGAATTTTCAATCTTGACGTGTGAACCCGCCATATTTGAACGATTTTTCGATGTTTACCCAAAGCTGTCGTGAGTTTGAGCTGTTTTACCTTAGATTTTTGGATGAGTTGGAAAATAATCACGGTAATTACCTTTTTTATGGTTGTATAAATGCAGTGTTAACTTCATATCTTTTTGTATACTGTATTTTTGGAGTAAACAAGGTTAATATTCAGTTTGAGTATATGATGTAAATTAGCGTTCTCACACGTTAGATGTTAACGTCATTTATACATTTCTATTCACTTAAATTATTCAACACCATCATGCATTACTAGTTTATTACATAAAGTATTCATATTTATTGTATTCAGTATTATCAGTCAGTTGAATGGTGCATCATTTCGGTCACATTTATATAATGTAAAGCATTGTAAGTTCTGTTTATTTTATTTTGTTGTAGTCAATCTTTTCCCTTTCCTTTACCATTTCCTTTACCTATGTTGATGGAAATAAATGATGGAAATAAATGATGGGAAATGAATGTGACAGTTTGAGAAATATGAAAGGAAAACAGTGTCATAACACTACATCATTGACGTGATTATTCTACTATTGGAACCGGACAGCAGCCATGACAGAAGATGGTAAACTACCAAGGGCTGAGGCCGGAGAATCACGACCAAGTAGGGAAAACAAAAAACTTACAGAAAAGGCCATACAAATTACAAGAATATTATGACAGTTTTAGAACATTAAAATCGTCAGTAACACAAATAAAGAATTTGATGTTAGAGAATAGAGACACTGAACTTATAAGAAAGAGGTATAGTTCCTGGTTGGATAATTATGAACACTTTTTAAACTTATTTGATGTTCTTAAAACCCAGACAGAGGATGAACAAGAGAAAAGCAAATTGCTGTTAGATCATCAAGATTATGACATATTCTTGATAAATTTTAAGAAAGAAGTAGAAGCATTCTTTTCGTATCAAGATACTGTGAAAAATGAAACAATGAATGTGAATAGTGTAAACAAAGCACAAAGTAGAAACTCTAGAACATCGAAATCTTCTTGTGTTTCCCTTGAAAAACTTAAGGAAGAACAAAAGCTAGCAGAACTTGAAGCACGCAAAGCGTCGTTAAAGAAACGAAAGGAATTGGAATTGGCCAAATTAGAACTTACACTTAAGGAAGAAGAATTTAACATAGAGACAGATATTGCAATTTCTAATGCAAAGACTGAAGTTTTACAAAAGTACGAGCTAGAAAGTGAAATTATTGACACTCACAGTGATAAATTTTGTGAAGAAGAAATTACACCTAGAAGAAATCCACCTATGCCATCCCCCAGAATCATAGTCAAGGATGCAGAACTTGGTTCCCAAATTTCTGTGTCAGAAAAACAACTCAATCCAAACGCCAGTGTTTTTGTGCCAAACATTTCAATGGAAACAAAACAACAAAATGCAATGCAGGATGTTGTGAACTACCTAAGAAGACCATTGCCAGAAATTAAAAAATTCAGTGGAAATCCATTGGAATTTCGGCGATTCATGAGACAGTTTCACGCAAAAGTAGTGATGAACACCAGTAATGATGATGAGCGTTTCAATTATTTGGAACAGATGACGCAAGGTGAAGCAAACCGTGTCGTATCTGGATACACACACATGTCTGGAGATAAAGGATACCAAGCAGCCATGAAGCAATTGGAAGAAAGATACGGAGACAGTGAACTGATAGTGACATCATTCATCAAGAAAGCTCTTGATTGGCCTATGATCAAAGATGCGAAAATGTTAGACGAATTTGCATTGTTCCTGGTAGAATGTCAAAACGCGTCAGAAAGCATAGACTGTGTGTCAGTTCTGGACTATGCTGAAAATATTAAAAGATTTTGTCAAAACTTCCGATATATCTACACGATCGATGGAGAACTGCAGTTCTCAAAATTAAGGAGACTAAGAGAAGAATAGGATTTAGTGACTTTGTGACCTTTGTGAAGACTGAGGCAAAGAAATCTAATGATCCCATATATGGAGTTTCATCATTGAGTGAAAATTCACGTTCACAGCCTGATAAGCACCAGAAAAGAACAGTTGCATCAGGAGGCCTAAGTAGTGAAAAGGAATCACCTGGAGCATTAGTATTGAAATGTGAATTTTGCGGTGGTGCTGGCCATGTGTTGATCGATTGTTACAGATTTCAAAGAATTAGTATTCAAGAGAGATATAACTTTATGAAAAATAAAGGACTTTGCTATGGATGCTTGAAAAAGGGACATGTAACCAAGAAATGTAGAAACAGACTTAAATGCATTTCATGTGGATGTCAACACCCTACCATTCTTCATGACCCATCAAGATCAACACCAAATTATCCAATCAATAGGGAAGAACACAACAACTCAGTTTCATCAAGTTCTAACGTTGATCAATCTGTCATCCACACAGGGAATTCTGATGTCGGTGCTTCTTGTGATACTGGGGCTGGAGAACAAACATCGGCCATGGCGATAATTCCTGTGAGAATTAAGTTGAAAAACAAGAACCATAGTGTCATTACATACGCATTCTTTGACTCGGGTAGCAGCGTTACTTTCTGTTCTGAAAACCTCATGCGACAACTAGGCTTTAGTGGAAAGAAATGTAACATCACTCTGAACACAATTGGAGAACCATATCAGTTGGTGTCCCAGTCTGTCAGAGGCCTACAACTCTGTGATATGAACATGACGGAATTCATAGATCTTCCAAAAATTTATACGAAAGACAGGATGCCTGTTACCCATGAACATATTCCTAAAAAGGAAGAAATTTCAAAGTGGCATCATTTATCGAACATAACGCTCCCAAGTGTTGTTGCTGAAATTGGCCTTCTTATGGGCAGCAATGTCCCAGACGCTTATGCTCCATTTGAAGTGGTTACCGGACCAAGTGGATCTCCTCACGCCACAAGGACGTGCTTGGGATGGATTGTGTGGAATATACTGAGAGAAGTCAGGTCAGGATCATATGATGTGAACAAAGTGACACTGGAGCGGTACTGTGAATGTGACACTAAGCTGGAAGAATTAGTGAAGGCATCAATTAACTTAGACTTTCCAGAGCACATGATAGCAGAACTTTTCTGAGCCAAGTTGAAAAGTCCATCAAACAAGTGAATGGTCATTACTCAATAGGACTTCCTTTTAGAAACAATTCTGTGAGCTTGCCAAATAATATGATTCAAGGACTACAGAGACTTGAATGTTTGAAGAAGAAGATGTTGAAAAATCCACAATTTAGAACTGATTACACTGTTTTCATGAATAAACTGTTCGAGAAAGACTTTGTTGAGCCAGTTCCTGAGATGCAACTACAAAGGGATGATGGACGCGTATGGTATCTTCCTCACCATGGTATATATCATACAAAGAAGCCAGGAAAAATAAGAGTAGTATTTGACTGTTCTGCTGTGTTTAGGGGTGTGTCTCTAAATAGTCAACTACTACAAGGACCTGACTTAACTAACAGTCTCTTAGGAGTGCTTCTAAGATTTCGACAGGAACGTATTGCGATACAAGGTGACATTGAGTCTATGTTCCATCAAGTTGCAGTACCAGAAGAGGATAGAGACTGCATGAGATTTTTTTGGTGGAAAGATGGAAATCTGAGTGCTGAACCTAAACAGTATAGGATGAAAGTACATATTTTTGGGGCTGTCTCATCACCTACTTGTTGCAATTGTGCTTTGAAGAAAACTGCTGAGGAACACGGTAACGACTATGATCAAAGCATACAGAATACCATAATGAAAAATATGTACGTGGACGACTGCTTAGCATCAGTTGATACAGAGGAGAAAGCCAAATACCTCATAAAGGATCTGATGGCCCTTTGTAAACAAGGAGGATTTCGATTAACAAAGTGGCTAAGTAACTGTAAGGAGGTATTGAAATCCGTCCCAGAAGAAGATAGAGCAGAAGACATCAAAAAATTTAGTCCGAATGAAGAAACTCTGATTGAGCGAGCCCTTGGAGTTTATTGGTTCGTGGAAGATGATTCCTTAGGGTTTCTAATACAGTTAAAGGACCATCCTACAACAAGAAGAGGCATACTTTCTGTGACAAGTTCCATTTATGACTCACTTGGCATTGTAGCGCCATTTGTTTTGACAGCTAAATCCATACTCCAACAGTTGTGTAAAGATGGTGTAAGATGGGATGATGAAATTGATGGAACCATGTTAAAGAAATGGAACAGCTGGCTCATGCAAGTGAAACATCTGGAAGATGTAAAAATTGAAAGATGTTACAAGCCAGGGAATATTGGACATTCTGTGTTATACCAGTTACATTGTTTTGCGGATGCAAGCACACTTGGCATGGGAGTTGTCATATATTTGCGCATGTCTGATGATCATGGAAATGTACATTGTTCCTTCGTCATGGGCAAATCAAGAGTGGCACCATTGAAAACAATGACAATTCCTAGGATGGAACTCACCGCTGCGACATTAGCCGTCAAGTTAGGTAGACTGGTGGACGAGCAATTAGACTTTCCTATAGAGAAAATACATTTTTGGACAGACAGTACAACAGTACTTCGCTACATCGCTAACACCAAGACTAGATTCCAAACCTTTGTCACCAATCGACTTGCCATCATCAACGCCCATACAACTTTTGATCAATGGCATTATGTGAACACAAAAGAAAATCCTGCTGACTGTGCATCTAGAGGAATATCTGTGATTGATAAATTCATAGATCATCAGTTGTGGTTTCATGGACCTGAATTCCTCCTGAAATCAGAATCTACTTGGCTTTTGAACTGTGACATTGATACTACTATTGGGGTTAACGACGTGGAAGTGAAAAAATGCATCAACACTACCCTTATACAGTCTTCCTTCAATGGTGTTGAAAAAATTCTTCAGCATTTCTCAGATTGGAAAAGACTTAAAGTCACGGTTGGATGGTTCTTGAAAGCCAAGGATAACCTGAGAAAAATAGTCAAGCAGAAAATAGAAAGAAGAGAAAAAATGATAGAATCTGGAGCTTCAAAGGAGAGAATTATGCAGATTGAAAGAGTGGAAAGTGAAACAAGAGTAAAGGAGTCCAAGAAGGCAAAAGAGATTCCTTTTCTCAGTACTGATATCCTCGACAGAGCTGAAAGAGAACTTGTGGCATATGAGCAAAGGCAGTATTACGCAAATGAATTGAAAATTCTTGGAGACAAACATGGATATGTCAAAAAATCGTCATAGTTTTCTAGATAAGATCCTATTTTACATGAAGGAGTCATCAAAGTGGGGGGCAGACTAGAAAAGCTAAACGCATCTTTTACCACTAAACATCAGATGATCATTCCAAAAAATTCCACACTGACTAGGATGATTGCTATAGATGCCCACAGATCTGCAGGACACATGGGCAAGAATGCTACTTTAGCAGTCATTCGAGAGAAGTTTTGGATACCCGGTATTTCATCTGTATTAAAATCGCTTATCTCAAAATGTGTTATATGCAGACAATACCAGTCTCCTCCAATGCACCAAAAAATGGCTAATCTACCTTCTGAAAGATTGGAAACAGATGATCCCCCATTCACCCGTGTAGGTATGGACTACTTTGGACCATTTGAATTGAAGAGAGGAAGGAGTATGGTGAAACGATATGGTGTAATATTTACCTGTCTTAATACACGAGCAGTCCATCTTGAAGTGTCATTCTCTTTGGATACAGATTCATGTATTGATGCTATTCGCAGATTCATCGCAAGGAGAGGAAAACCTAAATTTATCCGATCAGACAATGGTACAAATTTAGTGGGTGCAGAAAAGGAATTAAGAGAAGCTATCAAGACATGGAACGTTACCCAAATTCATTCTCATTTGTTGCAGTCAGGGATAGGTTGGATGTTTAACCCACCATCAGCATCACATTTCGGAGGTGTCTGGGAACGACTTATCAGATCCGTAAGAAAGGTGATATTTTCCGTTTTACATGAACAAACTATTTATCTGAACGATGAAGGACTCAAAACTTTGTTCTGTGAAGTTGAAGCAATTCTCAATGGAAGACCTTTGACGCCCACATCAGATAACCCTAGTGATCTAAGCGCTTTGACACCAAACCATTTGCTACTTCTTAGATCTGGAGAAACTTGCCCACCTGGAACTTTTTCACAGATGGACAACTACGTTCGACGTAGATGGCGCCAGATCCAATATCTCGCAGACATCTTCTGGAGAAGATGAATTAAAGAGTATCTACCCCTTCTTCAGAGCAGGCAGATGTGGTTAAAGGAGGGACGCAATGTTAAAGAAGGTGATTTGGTTCTTATTGTTGAAAATGGCCCAAGGAATTATTGGAATCTTGGACGAGTTCTGGAGGTTCAAAAGGACAGACATAATATTGTGCGTGTTGTGAAAGTGAAAACTGTGTCCAATATTCTTACACGTCCAATAACGAAACTGTGTCTTGTGTTGGAGTCGGATGACAGAGACTAAATTGTTTCACATGTTTAAAGATGTTAATTGCTCATTGGAAAATTGTAAAATATGTTCTGTGTAGGACCATATTTTAGGGGCCGGTGTAAGATTGATATTATATTATTGTCCAAATTTATCCGGATCAATTTATTTATCCAATTTTGTCAGAATATGAATTTTCAATCTTGACGTGTGAACCCGCCATATTTGCACGATTTTTCGATGTATACCCAAAGCTGTAGTGAGTTTGAGCTGTTTTACCTTAGATTTTTGGATGAGTTGGAAAATAATCACGGTAATTACCATTTTTATGGTTGTATAAATGCAGTGTTAACTTCATATCTTTTTGTATACTGTATTTTTGGAGTAAACAAGGTTTATATTCAGTTTGAGTATATGATGTAAATTAGCATTCTCACACGTTAGATGTTAACGTCATTTATACATTTCTATTCACTTAAATTATTCAACACCATCATGCATTACTAGTTTATTACATAAAGTATTCATATTTATTGTATTCAGTATTATCAGTCAGTTGAATGGTGCATCATTTCGGTCACATTTATATAATGTATAGCATTGTAAGTTCTGTTTATTTTTTTTTTGTTGTAGTCAATCTTTTCCCTTTCCTTTACCATTTCCTTTACCTATGTTGATGGAAATAAATGATGGAAATAAATGATGGGAAATGAATGTGACAGTTTGAGAAATATGAAAGGAAAACAGTGTCATAGCACTACAGAAACTGTCAAATAAATTTTTATCAAACTACATATGCTGATAGATATTGATGAGAGCTATGTAACTGCATCAACATTTTTTGACTTTGACCTTTCCTTTGACCTTGACCTCACTTTTCTTAAATGTGTTTAGCTCAGTTTTAAAGATACCATTCAAGATAGTGTAATTAAACTTCTTACATTGATACATACTGATCTAAGTTATTCAACTGCATCAACATTATTTGACCTTGACCTTTCCTTTGACCTTGACCTCACTTTTCTTAAATTAGTGTTTAGCTCAGTTTTAAAGATACCATTCAAGATAGTGTAATTAAACTTCTTACGTTGATACATACTGATGTAAGCTATTCAACTGCATCAATATTTTTGACATTGACATTTCCTTTGACCTTGACCTCACTTTTCTTAAATTAAAGTTTAGCTCAATTTTAAAGATACCATTCAAGAAAGTGTAATCAAACTTCATATGTTGATACATACTGATGTAAGCTATTCAAATGAATCAATATTTTTTTACCTTGACCTCACTTTTCTTAAATTAGTATTTAGTTCAGTTTTCATGAAATCATTCAAGATATTTAAATCAAACTTCATACGCTGATACATACTAATGAGAGCTATTCAACTGCATCAATATTTTTTTTACCTTGACCTTTCCTTTAACCTTGACCTCACTTTTCTTAAATTTGTGTCAAAATTCATAAATGGGAATATACATTTAATTTGATCGCCGAAATATGGCTGAAATATTGCCGCCTAGGCATTAAACAATAATAATCAATCATAATCAATCCAAAAGATGATTAGGCTGTTGTGTAAAATGTTGGAGGAGTTCTGGGAACCAGGGTCTTATTATATTAAAAACATTTTTCGACCCCCATTTGACCCCGAGGGTGAAAATGAAAATTCCGAAACCTTACTGCACAACTACAGGACACCACCAACCACCTCCCAAAAGATGATTAGGCTACTGTGTAAAATGTAAGAGGAGTTCAGGGAACCAGGGACTTTTTTGCATAAAAAAAACATCATTTTTCGACCCCCATTTGACCCCGAGGGTGAAAATGAAAATTCCAAAACCTTATTGCACAACTACAGGACACCACCAACCACCTCCCAAAAGATGATTAGGCTACAGTGTAAAATGTAAGAAGAGTTCAGGGAACCAGGGGCTTTTTGCATAAAAAACGTCATTTTTCGACCCCCATGTGACCCCGAGGGTGAAAATGAAAATTCCAAAACCTTACTGCACATCTACATGACACCACCAACCATCTCCCAAAAGATGATTAGGCTACTGTGTAAAATGTAAGAGGAGTTCAGGGAACCAGGGGCTTTTTGCATAAAAAACGTCATTTTTCGACCCCCATTTGACCCCGAGGGTGAAAATGAAAATTCCAAAACCTTACTGCACATCTACATGACACCACCAACCACCTCCCAAAAGATGATTAGGCTACTGTGTAAAATGTAAGAGGAGTTTGAGAAAGAAGAGTGTGACAGACGGACGGACGGATAGACATGAGTAACAACAATATACCCGAACTTTCTTTAGAAAGTGCGGGTATAACTAGAAGCTACCGGGTAATGTTAAATATATTTGTTTTTCTTTTTCTAAAACACTGTATAAACATGATAAAGACAGAAAATGTGAAATGTGATTATTTACATATACAACAATTTTAAGGACATTAGTTTGATACACTGTATATATACACTGCATTTAAGCAATATTCCATAAAATCTTTAAAAAGAAATTTTGAAGAACTTCTGTCCTACATATGGTAATAAAATCTTTATTATTTTAATTGAAACAACACATCTTTTTTTAATCCCATCATTGAACATTTTTTATCATTTACTTATGAATCGTGATTAAATGAGTTATAATTCACATGCAAGAATTAACGTAGGATCAGTTCCAGGATTTCCGGTGGTGATTATTTGGGGATGGGGTGGGGTGGGTGGGGTATATAAGTAACCATTTCTAAACAATTTAATAAAATTATATCTTTAAATGATATTCTGTGATTCTTACTGTGGTAAGAATATTGATATGATGAACTGAAATGTTGAACTAGTAATGACTAGATGTTCATTTATATTAAATTGATAATTACTTAAATTTTAAACTATGATTATAGACCTTAAATTATGTGTCTAAATATAATAATATAAATATGTTGAATATTACAATTCAACTCTGGACTCTTAGAAATTAAAATTATTTTAGAATCTCTAATTCTTTGCACAAAAGATAGATTGAAAAAAAATAAATGAAATATAATGATAAAATATAATGATCCAATAATCGTTATTAGAATTTAATATAGTTTATATACACATGTACATTTAATATATTAAAATGTCAAAGAACTTGCTCTTTTTGTAAAATTCCTAATTCCGCAAAACTATTTTCACAAGCTTATTCAATTTAGCTGTTAAATGAATAAATAATCAGTAAATCGTGAAAAATTATACCAGGGAATTTTCTTTTAACAAGGAAATATTTACTTTTAACAAGAAGATGCTTTTGTTATATTTTCAGCTCTAATGATATTTTCTGCATTATTTTTTTTGTCCATCGTTAGTTTACAAGGAATTTCTCGGAGTGGAAGCAGAGACAGAATTAATCAACTGTGTCTTGCTCTTGTGGAAATAATTTTGTTTCTTAATTTTTGATATCAAATGATGTTTTTGATTGAAAAAAATAATTTAAAAAATTATTTATATAATTTTCTAGAAGTAGAATTTACAACATTCTCTAACGTGAAGATTTATCTCGAATCACTTATTAAAAAAAAATTATTTAGTTGCCCGTCGCCGATAATTGTCATTATCCCGATAAGAGGCCTGTAATACGGTATAAGTGGGAATTTTAGCGAGACGCAAATTTAGCGATTTATCCTCCCAAGATGGTATATAATTTTAGCGATTTTATAATATCAAGAGAGATAGCTGTAACAAACGATATGGAATAAATTGTTAGCGATATTCAATTTTAGCGATCTCAGCACCATCGCTAAT